GGCGATGCGGGGCGGCTGGCGGGGCGGCGGGCGGCGGGTTCCCTGACAGTGGATGTTCCCTTCCAAGAAGGAGTCTTTAGAAATGAATTGGTTCAATGGGAAAACATACCAAGTGCATGGGGATGAACAAGTAAATACCAAAGAGCCAACTGCCCAAAGCCTTGGGGCAGCTGTGCTGGCTGACATTTGAGGACTGGCGAGGCACCAAAACCACACACAGCAAGCATCATAGGTTGACATCTCCATTGTGAGTTGAGTGCCTGTCCATAGCAACACAATCAGGTGGTTCTTTTCAGCCGCTATCAGCCAATACTTCAATTGTCCAGCGATGAGGGAGTTGCAGTGCCCGGCAGTGCCTAGGTCTCGCGATTGTTTGCGAGAGCCAGGTCTCCCTGTGCCCAGTAGTTTTGGGACTTGATGCGTCATAAACCCCACCTGCATGGAAGTCATCCACTACCAAATAGGTGCAAAGCGAGTCATGTGGACTCTCACGGGGTCGTGGAGGGAGTTCCAACGAGAGACATGAAAAGACCACGGCTTTTGGCCCAGTTCTGGGTGGTGTCGCAGCGGTGCCAAGTGGTTCAGGCCCCTCCTGTCTCTTAATGAGCGATAAGCTGCAACCTGAGGATCGGCTTCCATGGCTTTCTACTGAAATTTCAGACCAAACGGACATCTGCCGCAACTCCTCAAGTAGATAAAGTTGCGTGTGGGGTAGAAATACTGGAGAGCTGGGGGCCGCTCAAATCCTTCCACAAACACAATTTTCTTTCGGTATTTTCATACCCATGAGGAATCCTGTATGAAATGAGGGGTGTCCCTATAAACCGTTTCATGCCTTCCCTGCTTGCGGGGGTTGGGGATGGTTGGGGTGTGATTTAATAGAGGATTGGGTGTTGTTGTATTTAGACTTTGTGTGAGCTTTTGAACAACTGCTTGGGTGCGGCATGTTGTGGCTCACAATCTGTGTGAGATATTTATCAAAATGAATATGCAAAATCAGAGATTGAATCAAGAGGGTAATGATAGCATAATAGCCTGTAGCATGTTTTGACATGTTTTGGCGACGAGACGAACAGAGACACGGACATCAGCAAAGGGCCAAAACAATGCTTTTGAGCCTCACTGATGAGTAGATTTGACTTTGAGGGAGGTCATTTGATGTAAAACACACGTTTCCGAATAGCCTCGGTCCCCAATCAAGGTCCCCAAGGGGTGCTGATCCCCACCATATTAGATTTATAAAACTAAATGACATGTCATACCCCCCAACCCAAACCTCCACAGGATGTATTTTCGCAAAGCCTGTGGAGCCGGTCGTGCAGGAGGTTTGGCAAACAAACCCAGCGGCAGTGGGGCCCGTCTTCTTCTCCGGCGTGCTGGCTTTTGGTTACAACGTCTTGCAGCCTCTTGGTTTCGACTCTTGCATGGTTCTGCTATGTTCTGCTCTTCTGAATGCATCACTTGCTGCTTTTGGAAGATCTTTTTCATGAACCAAGGATCATACGGATCATAGATCCATCAGGATGTGCGGCCGCACATCCATAAACCCTGCACTCCTTGTGCCAGCACTCCAGGTACAAGTTGATCTCACAGCTCGAGGCCACCAAAGCCTCCTTCGCGGCGATCGTGAACATGGCGGGAGCCGGAACGGGCGACCGACCGACCCATGGGGAACGGGGCGGCTTGGCAGGTATCAAGCATGCGGCTGGGCAGTGCTAGATCAGAGCCAGGTCCAGCTGAACCAAACAACATCTATCAGAATGCTCGGACCTTTGGACCTTCGGGCTCTTAGTTCGGGTGGGAATGGGCTTGGAGTTTCGATTCCAGGCCCAATTTGTTAATCCAGGCTTCGCGAGAGCTGGGCTTTTTTGGGGGGGTGGCTCCCGCTTCAGCGGGAGTGGGTGGGATCTCGCAGGTGTCGGGCATTGTCGGTCGGGTTGATCTCTTGGAACACCTCAAGACCAGCTGAGCCTTGCTAGGATATGAATGTTGATTGTTGATTAATGGGACCTCCGTCTCCAGAAGTGTGGAAAACATCTCTAGGTTTGGGGTGTCTGATGAATCCATCGTGAACACTGAACACTGTCACTATTGTTTCAGAAATCGTGCTTTTTGGAATAAGACCTCTTGTCATCGCCCTTGCCAGCAGTTAAGGTAGAACCAGAAGGTTCTACAGTTCTACAGTTCTACTGTTACTTGCCAACTTTGGCAAGGAGTTATAGCAGCGAGAGCTTGTGCGGTCTTTAGGAAACATAGGAGCACCACCTCAAGCATCTTTTTCACTTTAAGCAGAAGAAGGACAATCATTGATCAAACCCTTGCTTTGTTCGTCTGATACTGAACTGCCAGTACTTGCTCCTCTTCCCGGCGCAAGACGCCACAACCCCAGCCGACTGTTTCACCATTCCAATGCGCGGAGTCCTCGGAGGGCATGGCTGTGCTACTCAGCTTGGTCTCCGGCACGGAGACGCTGCCCGAGAGGCGCCTGGTCGAAGCGGGGTCGATAGAGGGGTACAGGGAGTTTTGGGAAGTCACGAAGGTAAATCCTTTTGGATCATTTGCACTACCTACTGTACTGCTGCTGCTGCTCCTGCTCCTGCTCCTGCTGCTGCTGCTCCTGCTCCTGCTCCTGCTCCTGCTCCTGCTGCTGCTGCTGCTCCTGCTACTGCTACTCCTACTGCTACTCCTACTGCTACTCCTACTGCTACTCCTACCACCACCACCACCACGACTACTACTACTACTACTACTACTAATAACTACTACTACTAATAACTACTACTACTACTACTACTAACTACTAACTACTAACTACTAACTACTAACTACTAACTAC